TAAGGGAAGTCCACCTTATGGACGACCTCACAGCTAGATTAAGGGAAACCCAAAAAACATTTCAAAAAATATGGGCACCATGGGAGGGTAGCCCACTTAGCTGAGAGACGGCCCCACCACACTATTCTCCACGAATCAGCATAAAAGAACTCTTGCTAAAGACGGCCTTAGACAACAGCCACCACTCGATTACTATCTTCCTTTTCTTTCTCTTTTCCTTTCTTTCCCATTCACCTATCTAATAACATTACTACCATGCGTCTTGCGATTAATAGAGTTAAAGGGAGGAGATTGAGACATACTGGAATAGGAGCATGTACTAAAGTGGCACACGAACCAGTATAAAACTCGACCAAACCAACAGACTGCTCCTCCTTACATGGGTTGATAAGAAGCAATGGTTTAACTCCTAGAAAAACTAAAAAGACGACAAGGGGTAAACTGCGAAACTAAATAACACGTGCAGAGAAGATACCCCTGAATGAACACGTCAGTCAAGAGCACTTAAACAAATATCAAGGGGTTGTTACAGAACAAAAGGGAGTGCATATGTTACTGTTCTTCATGTTTTCAATGGATAGAAATGTGTTTATTTGTTACTTTGTCAAAAAACTTGAAACCTCGGTCAATGATAAATAAAGAATAAAAAAAAAAAAAGATTAATAATTCAGTGAAGCTAACGGCTAAACAGGTTTAAAACAGTTAAAATTTAAAAGAGAACAATCGAAAGAAAAATAATGTTAGTCTCACTCAATTATTAGTCTAACCCTATAAATAGTACAAATAGTGGAGAGCAGATAACAGGAAATAACCCTAGACATAGTGGAGGACAGAAAAGAGGACATTTGGGGTTAAAGGATCACTATAGGGTCAGGAACACAAACATGTATTCTTGACCCTATAGGGTTAATAATGAATCAATGAATCTCTATGAGGAAAGTTCAGTGTCTGCATGCAGAGGGGGGAGGTACTGAATGTCTGGATGCATTTTAGGTATCCATGACCCAGGAAGGATCTCTAACAGCTATCTGAGGAGTGGCCAGTGAAGTTATCACTAGGCTGTAATGTAAACACTGCATTTTCTCTGAAAAGACCGTGTTTACAGCAAAAAGCCTGAAGGTAATGATTCTACTCACCAGAACAAATTAAATAAGCTGTAGTTGTTCTGGTGACTATATTGTCCCTTTAAGGTGAGGTTTAAAATCAGGGTTAGGAACTTAATTTGGCCTCACTCAATTATGATTATAGCCCTAGAAATAGTGGAGGACAGATAACAGGAAATGCTTTTTTCCCCCCATGTGTCTGATGTCAATACCTGGGTGCCTCCATTTTGTTCTCCTCTGCTCCGATGACTGCTGTTTACTCTTTAAGTGGATTAAATGTACTGATGGTTTGATTTGCAAATAAACAGGACCTTGCTTTAAGCTCCGCTTATTGTCAAGTTCTGTCAACTTGACTCCTATACATAAGGAAAAATTGTCTCTAACTTTCTATATGTATTTTATGAAAATTTAAGCAATTGAAAAAGAAAAAAAGATTCAGACACAGGGAGCTATATAGAAGCAGATTAGATAAAGTTTATATTTTGTGACATATCCACATTATGTAATCACTCGCCTACTGTCTCCCTCCCGGACACTTACATTGAGGACAGACTTTCTCGGGGTGAACTTCCTCTGCATACAAAACTGCAATCTTCCAACTCAGGCTCTAGATAAGGGAGAAATACACCAATATCATCATATTGTCTTCCATTGTGTTTTTTTGTTTTTTTTGTGAACATACTTTATACAAGGTTTTCTCTAATTCCATTAAAAAAACAACACATCTTCGATATGATGCGGACTGTCCCAAGTTGTCACTTGCAGACCATAATATTAATAATTACAGGGACTTTAAATCAAAGAACATTTTTTTTCTAGGAATGGTTGCATATCGAAATTGGCTTTGTTGAAATCAGGGCCAGTACAATGTTACATGATTCACGGCATGTAGATTACTTCTCATGCTCTCAAATGCATAGAGGCTGACGTCAGTAGTACATTCTAAGAATTTTAATTACTGGAATCTTTTTAAAATAGTGGCAGTCATGCATATACTAAATATCCACATAAATAATTTATATGTAAATGAAGCATGGTGAGCCAACTGGAGTGCAGTATTCACAAGCACAGAGCATTTTAGCTAATGACAACACAGTATGGAAATGCACAACAGAACGGGCTAGTCAGTTGCATTTGACAAAATCATGAACATGTACAATGAAATGGACATAGGTAATGGAAGGGATCTCAAGTAGCAGATACAGCTGAAGTAGACAAAAAGTCCTGTAATGGTTTGAGGGTAATAGGGCAGGGTGTCTGAAATAAACAAGGGTCTACAGGGATCCGAAATGGGTAGATTGATCTGAGGTGGGTTGAGGAGTTTAAAAATGTTCATAGCAGACTGACATATCTGGAGAAGTTAATAACATATTAAAGGATCAGGAGGAGTTGAGTTTGTAGAAGTACCTGGAGGAATCTGAAATTAGCTGTGTTGTCTTAAGTGGATAGACCGATGTAGAAAGATCTTAAAATAAGCCAGGGACTATGATGAACAAGGAGACATGAAGTGTACATAAAGGTCGGAAGTGGGCCCTTGGAAAAGCTAGCTCCCCTTGCACATTTATAATGTTGGAAATCTCTGTGTCTCAGTAAAGCAAGATAAAGATTGCTTTGGTTTGATCTAAACATGCATTACACTAGTCACATCTGCTTTAACCATTTTTGCTAAATCTCTACAAAGCCGTGAAGAATTATGTCAGTATAAATAAATGTGATATATTTAATAAATCTGATATTACCTGCACGATTGTTGTCAGCCTGACTTAGAAGAGGAGGCATCGACATGGGGCTGCCGAAAATATGAGAAGAGGGGATACTGAACGTAGTGCCGGTCAGTGAGAATACCTATAGAGGTGAGGGGTGAAAGATGCAAAATTGGGAGGAAGAAAGGGTCGGGTAAATGATCTATACCACTTTACACCAAATAGTGCAGTTTGCAATAGGAGCGAACACACACTTCCCAAAATTTAGACCGTAAACAGTTAAATATACCTATAATAGCTATACCACATGCCCGTTTACTTTTAAACAAACTACCCTTTAAAATCACTCTGCATTAAGTAGCACACTACAAAGCAAGCTATGTTGTAAACACGCATTCTGCAACACATACTTCCTTTACGTTCTTTAAGTGCATTATACTGTTCAGTCTACCCTGTCCAGAGCAGTGCAAATAATTCCATCAATAAAGCATTTCAGCCAGCTATAATGATGCAATGCATGAATATTTTAACTGCACACCACAAAACAGAATCAATTGCATAGGAGGTTCACTGGTTAATACACAACATATATTACACTCAGGATACATTTCAATTCTCCTTAAGATCTGTCCACACGAAAAACTATCTTTTCTTAAGAACAGGTGAGTCAGCTAGTGATGTAGTCATTTTCCAGACTTATCTTATCTTTTTTTTTTTATAACTCCTATAACTAACTACTCAAGTAATATTAATGGCATTTGAGATATTAGTAACCACAGCCCTATATAATCAACTGATGCAGGTAGAATGGCACCTATCTCAGACCTGTGTGGTAGAAGCAGTGGGAGATGGAGTGATGGAGCAGGCTCTGCTGAATGGTGGGAGGGAGCTCTGGTGAGACAGGAGGCTGGAAGGAAGCGGTGTGCTGCAAGCCGTCCTCACAGAGATGGGGTCCTTATTACTGGTGTATATACCTGAGGTGAGAGGATACGATGCAGGGGTAAATAGAAATGTGAGTGATGAATAAAACCGCGTGCATGTATTTTATATACTAATCATGTAACCACACACTCAATCAAAATAAAATGTAAAAAAATCTGGAGAGGTTATAAATTACAATACTGAGCAAAAATTAGAATGTCAATACAAAGAGTGGATACATTCTATTATAATTACTTACAAAATGTTTAACGTAAGCTGTCAAACTCATTCACTACTGAATTGAGAGACAGACTTTTCATGATATTATGAATGTGAATGGAGGGACAGATGTAATGTGAAAATTACACAGGTCATCCATTCTTAACTGAACTGTGAAGCTCCATAACCACTTCAGCCTACTGCAGTAGATGTTAGCCAGGTGCAGCAGCATTCCCTCCAATACAAGTATTAAAACAGTTTAAGAAGTTGGGTCCAGTGGGTGCTGTTCCCAACTCTCCTCATCCTTGGAGGTTCCACTAGCTCTCCTGCTATGCAGGGCCAGTTCATTGGAGAGAAGATGAGGTGACTACATTCAGCCAATAGGCTAAGCCCAGTAATGCTCAAGCAGAGATCTACTGGCTCTCACTGAGGCAGGCAGTGGCACATGGTGATCCACAGGTAAGCCTTTAGCAAAATTGTTTGACTGCTTACATTAGGGGAATACTAGGTTACTCACCATAAACACTACGTTTTCCTATCTCATCTATGAGCCGCAATGTTATTTCCAGGTTATCTTCTCTCTAGTTTTGTCCCAGGTTTTTTTTCCATCTTATTTCTGTAACTCTGACTCTGTCATTCAGGTTTTAAAAGACAGAAATGAGATGGAATAAACAGCTGGTGAGAAAGACAGAGATAATATGTAAAAAAGAAAAACACAAAAGTAAACTGAAAAAGAGAGAGGAAGTGAATTGAATATTTGTAATGTTTTGCCTAAGATATGGGAGCATTGTCCATCATAATGCTATAAATTGTGGGGTAACTTTGACTGAGATCTGAAGTCTGTAGCTCCCCAAGCAAAGCCCCAGAAGACAGGGGAACGCTACTGGAATGTGTGTGTACAGTGCAGGAGCCCTCCCAAGGTAAGACATCAATCTTGTCAGAAAGAACTGCACTTATGCTACATTGAGCAGAATCGGTGCAGATGGGCTCATTAGTGTCAGCAGTGGCTCTGGGTCCTGGAGCCACTGGCAACTTTTTTCCTACTTGTGGCCCCATGAAGTTTAGGATTGACGTAAATATATCCCCAAAGACAGCTCACCAGGGGTCAATTTTTGAGTTCATGTGCGTGTGATGCAATATGGTCCAAAATGTTGATGCAATTCTTTAGACTTTGCATCATATGAACACTATAGCATTACAAATACAAATATGTATTTCAAATCCTATAGTGTAGTAGTCACCGTTTAGGTGATTAGACCAGCATTGCCTGGGTTTAAAAAAAAAAAAAAAAAAAAAAAAACTTATTTCACTTATCTTTTCTCCCTTGCAGCAACAGTAAGCTCTGGAAAGCTCTGACACTTTGGCTGAGATAGATAGATAGAGATTGATGACTTCAGCCAATCCAATGCTCTCCCATAGAAAAGCATCAGGAGGCTAGTGTGCATGCACAGTAAAACACTGCACCAAACAGATGGCTTCTCTGAGACAGTCTAATTAAAATAGTAGAGTTTTACTCTGCTTTTTCATAATGACAGCCATTAGAGGGAAGTTAACCCTGCAAAGTAACCATTGGTGTTCCTGCAGAACAGCAATGTTTTCATCTGCAGGATTAAAATGAGGTGCACGTGATGAAGTTGTCTTGGTGCCTAGTGTTCCTTTAACCCCTTAAGGACCAAACTTCTGGAATAAAAGGGAATCATGACATGTCACACATGTCATGT